GTGTGCACAGCTCTTCATCTGTTATCATGGAACTGCCAGCATTCATTCGGTTAGGTAGACGGTCAATTCTTGTTCATTCAGATTTTCTTTTCCTCACTAACATGCTTAACTCCCACCAACTTACTAAATGTGATTTATTAATAAATTTTTAAAGGCAGAGCAGAGGAACCCTTGCATCTTCTGCAGAGTTGCACTTGCATCATCACTTGGAACAAGGCAGCCATGGATCTGCAGTGGTGAGGCAGGAAGCGCGTGGATTTGATGCTGAGCGGTGCTGGGGCATCAGAGGGTCAGGAGTGGCCAGGGCCGAACGTGTGAGTGGAGAAGCAGCCCCTCCAACGAACGCGTTTTCGCAGAGAGCCCCAGAACAACTGTATTTGATTTAAAAAATCGACCCCCTGCCCTTGAGGATGATATGTTTTCAGGTTCCCGGAGACTGATGAGACTGGGAAATGAGGCTGCGAAGCCCTTGAGTCCTCTGTCCGCACCGCCCCTGTGGGAGTGTTGCCCAGCACCAGGGATTCTGGCCTCAGTCCTGTTTTTCTTTCCTATGGCCCTTGTTATGTGCAGATAAATATTTAACTAGTTACATTTTAATTTCTTACCAGGTGGGTGGAATTGGCAATGGATACATTTTAGTATGAGAAAAATAAGTCTCTTACAACAATGCTGAGAAGCCAATATTAGAAAATAAAATTTTCAGGAGGCCTGAGGTGGGCTGGGTCACTATCAGTCCTCCTCATCCTCTGGTGGGTTCTCACTTTCCTCAGATAGTAGCCGACTCCAGCGGTGTGGTCACCACAACTTCAGCCAGTTCCCTGGGATAGAAAGACAATGCCAAGGCTTCTAGTCTTGGAAGGAGCAATTAAACTTTTCATTATCAGTCATTTTAGACACAATTCTAAATTGTCCCCAGCCATTTACCCAGCATCCTTGTTGAAAATCTCCTCCTCATTGGAAGACTCCTTGTCGTGCAGCTGCTCTGCCATGTTTTTCTGGCGTGTGGCATTGAGAGGTCTGTACATATCCCTAAGCCAAAGTGGCCAGCTGAACCAGAAAAAGCCCTCTGGGGGGAAACACATACACAAGACAATTAGTGATTCTTGCCATTTTCCAGAGCTCTCACAATGTACATCTCTGGCCTTATTAGGACTAAACATGTACCTTGGTCCATAATCACAGTGAGCAACATCACTACAGACCTCAAATCCTGAAAATAATTCCATGTGTGCTGGATTCCAGAAGCTCTCCATGTCTGTCCAAGAGGGCCCCACAGTATCACTGGGGAGACCTTTGTGTGTGGCTTGGCATGGAGCATAGAAGGATTTTCAGTCCCACTCACCTCCCCTTGGCCAAGTGCTCTTGTGCAGGAACAAAGCATACAACCATACAGGGCAGAAGTATTTTTCTCTCTCCAGAAGCATTTTATATCAGTCCCTTTTCAACTTAGTCCTACATGCAGCATTTGCTGGGGAATGAGGGATAAGGTGCTTCTATTTTCCTAGAAGCTTTGTCCTATAAGTTGAGTCACATCAAGCAAATGCCTGGGTCTAGTTAGCAAAGTTGTCTGTCTTACAGATTTTCATACTGCAGGCCGTCACTGAGGAGTGAGCTGTAAAATCAGTTTAAAAGATAAAATATTCTTTTTGAATATGAACAGAATGGAAACAAATCAGAGTGCATTGTTTCAGAAACTACTTATGTCTACACAGCATATGTGTATTGATTTGTGATATAAAATGTAGCTCACGGTCCAAGTAGAGTATAATCAATGGAGAAGCCCCTGGCTGGAAAGAGACCACTCCCTTTCTGACACTCACTAGCTGTGACCTGGGGCAAGATAATTTCCCTTTCTCTGTCTCTATTTCCTTTTGTTGGAACTGTCATCTCATAATTCACAGAAGGTTGCACTACAGCTTCCTGAGGTGGCTCTGGAGGCTGAGTTGGGGCCTCCTGCATGGTTGGAGAAGGTTTAACTTCTCCAGTGTGTTCTGAGGTTATGCTAAGTTCCTTGTCCAAAGGTTTCACTTTGAATTCACTCAGGTTTGGATGCTGAGTCTGAACGTGGTCTGGATATGGAAGTGTCACCTCAGGATGCTTTAAAGATGGAGCTGCAGTTGTCAGGACCATAGAATGTTCATTCTTGGTAGTGGAAACTGGAGTTATGGTAAGCTCCAGGTCCACAGGTATACCTGTGACACTGGGTGACACTGGATGCTGAGCTTGATTCTGACCTGATGTTAAAACTGTCATCTCACAAATCCCAAGACGTTGAGCCTCCTTGGGTGGCTCTGGATGCTGAGTTGGAATCTCCTGTGTGGTTGGAGAAGATTCAATCTCCATATTAGATCCTGGATTTATGGTAAGTTTCAGATCAAAAGGTTGTGGTGTAACTTTAATCAGGTTTGTATGCTGAGCCTGAACCTGGTCCAGATGTGGAAATGTCACCTTACGGTGTTCTGGAGGAGCTACAGTCTTCTTCAGGGCTATAGAAGGTTCAGCCTCCATAGTGGGTTCGGGAGTTATGGTAAGTGCTAGGTCCACAGGCAGAACTGTGACACTGGGCAATGTTGGATGCTGAGCCTGATCCTGGCCTAGTGTTGGAAGTGTCCCCTCTTGATATACTGGACATTGAACTACAACTTCATTAGGTGGCTTTGGAGGTTGAGTTGGAGTCTCCTGCGTGACTGGAGAAAGTCCAACAGCTGTAGTGGGTTCTGGAGTCATGGCAAGCTCCAGGTCCAACATTTGAAGTGTGCCTTCAGTCAGGTTTGGATGCTGAGCCTGAGCTGGTCCGGATGTGAAAATGCCACCTTAGGGGGCTTTGGAGGAGCTGTAGAATGTTCAGCCTCTAGACCGGATTCTGGAGTTATGGTAAGGCCCAGGTTAAACCTGGTTGAAATGTGACATTGGGTGACCCTGGATACTGAGCTTGATCTTGACCTGGTGTTGGAACAGTCATCTCCTAAGATATTGAGGATTGAGCTACAACAACTTCCTTAGGTGGCTCTGGAGGTTGAGTTGGGGTCTTCTGCATGGCTGGAGAAAGTTCAACCTCCATAGTGGATTCTGGAGTTATGGTAAGCTCCAGATTCAAATGTTGAAGTGGGCAATGTTGGATACGGGGCTTGATTCTGACCTGGTGTTGGAACTGTCATCTCCTCAGATATTGGGGGTTGAGCTACAACTTCCTTAGGTGGCTCTGGAGATTGAGTTGGGGTCTCCTGCATGATTGAAGAAAGTTCAACCTCTGTAGTGGGTTCTGGAGTCATAGTAAGCCATAGGTCCAAGGTTGACCTGTGACAGTGGACAATGTTGGATACTGGTCTTGATCCTGACCTGGTGATGGAACTGTCATCTCATAATTCACTGAAGGTTGAGCTACAACCTCCTTAGGGGACTCTGAAGGCCTGGAAACTCCTGCTAAGGTGGAGAAGGTCTGACCTCTTCAGCAGACTTTGGAGGATGGCCCAAGTCCATCCCAGATGGCCCAGATGGTTCAACCTCCTTAGGGGACGCTGGTGGCTCAGCTGGGGTCTGGTGTTGGACTGGCGAACGTACTATCTCCTTAGGGGGAAGTGGAGGCTGAGCTGTGGCCTCTTGCTGGGCTAGAGAAGATTCAAACATTTCAGGGCGATCCTGAAGTGCAGAAAAGGGATCAGACTTGGTTGCAGAAAATTCAGCCTGTTCAGTGGAAACTGTAGACTAAGCAGTACCCTCCCACTGGACTGGGTAAGGCTCAGCATTTGTAGTGGGCTCTGCTGTAGTTATGGTAATCTCCAAATCCACATGTTTAACTGTGGTTTTAGGCAACCTCTGAATGGCCTCTGAAAATCATAGACAGATCTAGAGATAAAAATGTCATTGTATGACTAATCAGACTGAAAACTGTATAGGATGCTGGAGGCTGAGTTGTGTGCTGTTGCTGGCCTGGTTAAGGTCCAACACCTACAAGGGGCTCTTGAGGTAATGCTGAGGTTTCCTGCTGGCTTAGAGATGGTTCCTCAGGAAGCTCTTCAGGCTGAGTTGGGACCCTTTGATGGACTGGAGAATGTTCATCCTATTCAGAGAAGTTTGGCTGCTGAATTATAACCTCTTCTTGGCCTTTCACATGTTTAAACTGCTGAGAGGACATTGCCTAATTATGTCCATGGAGCTTGCTTCCAAGAAATAGCCCATTCCCAGCCATTCCTATGCGCTCTTGGGATCTGCTTGTAGTGATACCTCGCTCCGCCCCACTGCCCCACACGAGCCCACACTCTGGTCCTAGGCTCCATTTCACCAAGGCCTGAAAGTATAAAGTGCCCAAGGCAGGACCAAGGCACGGTCCTGCCAACACCTGCTTTCTTGCCCTTTACCACTTGTGACGTTTTGTTTTGAGTTCATTTGAAAGAGAGATGTCACTTGTACGATGGAAAAAAAACCTTCCACTTCCTTCCGGAGGGGATTCGGCGGGCCCTTGGGTTTGGGCCGGGGGGGGGTTGCGGGGGGGTTTCCGGCGGGGGGTTTTTCAGGGGGCCTTCAGGGGGCCCCTTTGGTTAGGTTTTGTTCAAACCAGGTTATGTTTTCCTGAAAGCGCCAGGCTGAGGCTCCTATTTGGGTCTGGCCCTGACAGCCTGGCTGCGCAGATGCCCTGGGGGGGTGGGGCACGGATAGGGCAGGCGTCATCGGTCCCACTCACAAGCCGACACTTTCTGCTGAGGGAGGTGAGGTGACAGCCCAAATGTCGTGCAGATTATGCAGAGGCTGAGTGAGGTGAGGAACCCAGAAGCCAGGATCTGGTCTGACGCAGGCCTGCGGGAGGCGGCCTGCGTTCCGCCTGGCACGACGGTGCCTTCGCCTCTCCGAGCCCGGCGGGCACTCTGGGTCAGGAGCCACCCAGACCACCCACAGGCTCGGGGTCACCTCAACCGCCGGCTGCCCGGAGGGGATGGCCCCCCCCCCGCCGCGGCCCTCCTGGCTCCGCGATTGGCTCTGTGGGACGGGGGCGTGGCCGGAGCGCCGCGCCATCGTGATGGCGTCAGGCGCCGCGAGCGCCGCTTCCTGTTGTCAGTGGCCGTGAGGCCGCGGCGTCGGCTCCGAGGCTGAGGGGCTGCCGCGGCCGGGAGTTCCCACGCCTGCTCCCGCTCGGTTTGGTGAGTTAGGGGTTAGGGGGCGAGGAGGGCAGCGGAGGGGCGGCGGGGCCGAGACGCGAACGCGCGGTGGCCTCCAGCCCTCTACCGGACTCCAACCCCTTGGTTGCCTGAGACTGTCCGGCTTCCGAGCCCTCAACCCTTCCCAGCCCGCGGCCCGCACTTCCACCGCTGGTCCGTCCCCTGCGTCTTCTCCTACCCGTGACCCCACCCCTGCCCTTACCCCCGTCCCCTCACCACCGGTCTTGCAGCTTCACTCGTGACCCCCACTTTAGCCTCGTGCCAACCCCCGCTCGGCCACGTCCCTTCGCCTGGCTCTAGCACGCCCCATCCTCACCCCTGCACCCCTCTGGCAGTCCTCATGCTCCACGCAGACCTCCCCTAGACCCACGGTTCTGGTTTCCCCTTTTCTGGCTCAGCTTTCTTATCCCAGTCTCCCACACGCCCTGCTCAGCTCCCCAAGAGCTGCTCATCCCAGACACCCTGCCTCTGCCCCCTTTCATTTAAGACCCACCTCCCAAGTGGGTGCCCTGTTGACTTTACCCCTTTCTTCTGGATAACTCCCAGCTCAGCCTTAGTCCAAGTCTTATATGTATCTTGTCCTCACAGACTCAGCCCCTAACTTCCTAGCCCACCATATACTTCCTTCTGTCTCCAGCCATCCAGAAGACACCTCATCCCTAAGTCTTTGCTGAACTGCCCCCAATTCTTGCTGCCTCCGTTCTTACCACCCTTACCCAATCTTATTGCAAAGGAGATCTCCGTGTCCTTTCATCTCTGCTGTCCCCACCACAACTCTCCACCTGAACTCCGTCCCCATTCTTCCCTTGACCCAGCTCCCATTCAGAGAACTTAGTGCAGAATGGTCTGCCATCCCCACCAGCTGCCCATCAACTGCCAAGTCTAGGTGCTTGCTCAGAGCTGGGCAGTTAGAGACTGAGGAGCTTGATTGGTGCGAGCAGGGCCACAGGTGGTAAATAAGTGTGGAGACGCAGAGGGCCCTCCCCCCACTCTTGGGTCAAGCAGGGGCTTTTGCTGGTGTCTAATCCCCTGTACATGTCCCCAGGGATTGTACTTCTGGCATTCATATTTAATTACTTGTGCCAGTTGGTGGAATATGGTAGGTGTCATTCAAATACTTTGAAGGTGAGAGATGGCCACTCACCCAGCTCGCTCAGCCTGGGGCAGTGGCAGCCATCACTCCCTTTTGGCTGGTGTTCTGGCCCTCAGGAAGGTTCTGTATGGGGTTGACCATTGTCCATGTGCCTTGTCCTGACACTTGTAAAGGCCTCTCCCAGTGCTCCTCCATGCTGGAGCTGATTACAGATCATTCACAACGCAGAACACAGGGGTCGCGTTGGGTGCCAGAGACACTCTTACATGTGAAGAGTACAGGTGAGTGGGTCCTGGGGAGCTGAGGCCTAGGTGGGTACAAGAGGCTGTTACAGCGATTCCTCTTTTCACAGGTGTGGGATCATTGAGTTTTGGCTATTTGGGTTCCATGAACACAGGGAGTGAAGTTGTCTCATAGTAGCTGAGGCAGAGGGAAATTCCTGAGGCACCACAGTCCCATACTCAAGTATTTATAGTTTGCTGGGGGCTTTTTGGTTCACCTTTCCTCCAAATTCTGCTATCTTGGCTTCTGGAGGGTCAATCATTTGACAACAATTGTAAAGAGCCTCGAAGAACATTGTCTTTGCTTGTCATTTATAGTTTCATTCCTTTGAAAACTGAATGCTGTTCTACTTTTAATATCTTTCCACTAAGGCACAATATCCGAATGGTTTTCAGCCCTGCTGGCAGCCTGGTTTAATGGAAGGAGTCGTGCGGTGGCCCCACCATTTAAGGGTTGTTTGCCTCAACTTTCCACAGTCTGTGGCCCCACCATTTAAGGGTTGTTTACTTTAACTTTCCACAGTCTGTGGAATGAAGGTACTTGCCCTGTGCTTTGGTTTTATTTTATTCAGCAGTTCATTCAACAGTTATTTTTTGAGCACCACAGTGTGCCAAGCCCTACTCTAGGTTCTAGAAATGCAGTGGTGAGTGAGTCAGTGGAAGATCCTGTTTTCATTCACTTGAAGTGGGGTTGTCAGGATCCTATGGGATATGGGGCAAGAATATGGGAGAGATGGGTGTTATTGGAAGAAGGGAAGGAGGGAGGAACGAAAGATACTTCGTGTTCACCAGCTTCACAATTCTGCCCTCACCCACTAGTCCTTGTTCTGGGAATCACAAGCTAGAAGTTTCTCACCCTTCATCTGGTATTTAATTGGTATTTAATTTAATTTAATTGCTTCAAAGGCCTAATCCCTCCCCATCCCCTATCCCACTGTTCACAGGACATTTGTCCGGAAATCCAACCATCCTCAGGTGGAAAGAGATGCGGCTTCCTCATTCAGTATTCACATGTCTTAACGATCAGCTGCCTTTCTGAATCAGGAGATAATTTTGTCATTCTTTTCCAACTGAAAAAACATGACTCATCAATTGATACAGCAGCTGGATGGCTTAAATGCCAGGCTGTTGTTCTGAACAGCCAGGTAATGCAATTCAGGCAGTAAAGGGAAGGCCGTGGGGAGTGGCTGAGAAGTCTCTAAAGAGAAGAGGTTGCTGTTCACTGGTGGATTGAGTGTTGTGAGAGCACTGAAGCCAGGCCATCCATTTCTGCTTCTAATGTAAGTCTCATCTAAGTCATTCCTTTCTTCCGTGGTCTCTGGAGGAAGTGAAATTGGACATATACAGAAGTCCAGGCAGTATAATACAGAAAAACAGCTGAGATAATTCCTTCCTGTGTTGGAAGATTTAAGAAAGGACAGCCTTGGGACTTGGGGAGCGTGAGAAGGACCTGGACTCAGTTGGTTGGGGCCATCAGTCTGATCAGCAGGACTGTTTGTTGTTGTTTTTAGACCTGATTTGATAAAACGGAGCTTCTGAGCACCTTTAAAGAGTCTGTAAGTAATAGTTTAAGAGTCTGTAAGTAAAAATTTGCCTGAAATTCTTTGAGCCAAAGACCTGAGACAGTTTGATCCAGTGAAAGGCTCAGGTATTAGAATGAGGAAACCAGAGCATTCTCTCTCTTACCTGAGGCCTGTTTTTACTAAACCTCAGTTTTCTCCTCTGTAAAACGGGACTAATCTTTCTCCTCTCACAGGATTATTGTATGAATTAAATGAGGTTAGAGAATGATATCAGAGAAGTTTGCTTTGTGTACTCTGGATAGCTGTATGAGGATGAATCAATACATAGGGGTGAAGGTACACTTTGTGTGATTTGGGGTTTCCTACATGGCAGAAGTCACTTTTCCCCACTAAACTTTCACGGGCAATGTTTGAAGGGCCCTTTGGTAGTGTTGCCCAAGTTCTTTCCTCACTCCCTTCAGTGTGGGTCTCCTTGGAGCCACACCTCTCTTCAGTTTGGTTCTTGGTGTCAGTGAAGAGTGTTTTTCTTGTTTTGTTTTGTTTTGTTTTATTTAGAGAATACTTTATTAGTGAAGAGTGTTTTGAGGACAGAAAGTAAAACCAGTCTCATACAATGGTAGATTTGGGATCTCGGCCTCTCAGTGGGATGATGGAATGCTGACCCAACAGTCACAACACCCAAAGCTGCCTTGTGATTCCCACAGTGAGTTCTTATGTCATTGATGGTCAGAGTCCTGCCTGCTTGAGCCCTGTTCCATAGAGCAGACACAAATAGGCAGGGTGCTTTGGCTTCCTACAAAGAGAGGTGGCCTGAACCCCACAGTCTCAGTCCTATTTTGTGAAACATCATGTGCCTGTTCTCCTGGATCCCTCTGAGCTATTGTCAGTCATTTTGACTCTTTTCTGATATTTGTCTCTTATCTGGCCCTGTCCTGACCTCTCTTAGCTTCAGTTTACTTTGTTTTTTTAGCTGACTGTTACTTGGCCAGAGCACCCACTTACTGATGCCCCTGCCACATGAGTGTTACTCTCAGCTAATTAGTTAATGAGGCATAATGGGCCCATGCTAGTAATCAGATTGTTCTGCTCTAGGCCCCTAGGGTCCTGGCCTTGTGCCTGGCTTAGGGATGGGCAACTTTGGAGCTTCAGGGCTCTAGAAGGACAGACCTGAGGGAGAGGTCTTAGGCTGCTGGAATTGTGGCTTGGGATCAAAGCCTAGGATTTTAGAGCCAGAGAAGCTGAACTTGTTATGCTGGGCTGCACAAGGTTAGCCTTGAAGGAGCCCAAGCTCAGGACCAGGCATGTTTCTGTGTTTCTGGGAGTGACTGTTTGACTGCAGCACACGCCCCGTTTCCTGCCATCCTGGTGGCTAGAGTGTGGAGCTGGTCTCCAGAGAGGAGGGCCCTGAGAATCCCCAAGGACCTAAAAGCAGAGGATGTGGTGAAGGGTGGGACAGTTACACGGGGCTTGCACCCAGGCTGAGGACCTTCCTGGGGGTCTGCGGCACCCTGACTGGAGCTGGGTCTACAGGGGCCACCCTCCCCCCACACACGCCTGCCTCCCTGTGTGGGGCCTGAACTAGGGAGGTCAGCTCCGGGTCCCCATTGCCCTCTGCCAATCCCAGAGGCCACAGATTGCATCAGAACACCTTCTACCTTCCACCATCCAGGGCCAGCCTGCCTCTCTCCTTTCTAAACCATGTGTTCCAGCGCTCTTCTGGAAACCTGTCCTTCCAAGCTGGCCTAATGTTTCCCTGCACCCCCTTCCCTGGGCCCCTAGCCTTGGGATCTTAGGAAGTTCCTCCATCTGAGTCAGCGTCCCTTTCCTTATCTGTCCAGTGGAGATAATAAAACAGCACCCCTAGGGAGGAACATAAATGAGGCAATGTGTGTAAAGAGAACAGAACCCATTAAACATTCCTTGGTTTTGTTAACTTCTTTGAGCCTTGATTGTTTCGGTATTTCCCTGATGCTCAACTGGGTGTTGAGATCTGTTTAGGTGTGGATGTGCCTGCCCAGTCCTGGTCTGTCCAAGCTGCTGGGGTGAAGCATGACCAGCCAGCAGTCTCTTTAGGCTCAGGTCAAAGTCCCCACCCAAACCACTCCCAGGAGGAAACGAGCTTTCCTGAGAGATTTAATGGCCTTCAACTATTCCTGCAGGCTCTTTTAGACAGTAGCATTCTTTACCTATAGATTTGGGTGGCGACATCCACTGGGATTATAAATACCATTTATACCTGGTATGTGTTGCCCTGTGGCAAGTGTTTTACACATTTAGACTCCCCATCTGAAAGGTCTGATGCCACACCTGAGCTGCCTAGCTGGTTAATGGCAAACTATGATTCAAACTCACGGTGGTCCCATTTAGACATGTCCCTGTGCTACTCAAGCCAGACCCTCAGAGCTCAAAGGAGAACCAGAAGTGTGGCAAGAGAGCCCTTCCTTTTTGAAGCTGTTCCAGTTGTACTTTTCACCGTTGAGCTGGCGGTTGGGCTGGGACAGGAGTGGGTGGCAGGGAGCAGGGTATTGCTGGGCCCAGGCCCTGAATGTGACTCGTGAAACCCAGTGGGTTATTGGCACCTTCAGCTGCCACATCCCCCTTGCACCCTGAGCACTCCCTCTGATCAACCTCTCTTTCCCCGAACCCTGAGCCCACAGGGCCCTGGCTTTCTGTGCAGCTTTTGGTGTGGAGTGAAGAGCCCTCACCCCCCACTTCTTGAGGTGGACTCTCCCACACACCCAAGCCCCTCACCTCCCAAGGACTGAGCTCTCTGACATGGCTTCCTTCCCTATTTCCTTCCTTAAAATCCACTGTCAGTTTTCACTTTTGTATTCCTCAAAGGCCTTTCCGTTGCAGCTTTCATAAGATGGGCTGACCTCCTACTGGGAAAGGGCTCTGGCAGTTGGGGGCTTGCTCATCTGGCTGCCATCTGTCTCTGCAGGTGTCATGTGACTCTCCGAGGGAGTTGCTGCGTGAGTGGAGATGCTCTCAGTGGTGGAGAATGGACTGGACCCCCGGGCTGCCATCCCGGTAGGCGGGCAGGGGAGAAGCACGGGTGGAGATGGGCTGCAGGGGACAGCCATTGCATCAGTTTGTCTCTTGGTGACATGATGGCCACTGTCCAGCAAGAGAGTTTGAGAGAAAGTTATAGCAGAAGCAGGCTCCGAGGAGATCCTCCCCTTTCTAGATCATCTTTTTGGCAATGAAATAGAGCTTTATAAAAAAAACAGTGAGGATTTAAGATAGATTACCCAAAGCCAGAGGATTTCCATTCAGACTTTCAGACCTCTGCCTTTAGGTCCCAGTGTGGCCAATGCTTTGAATTGGTCAGATATAAGTATTCCCAGGACCGGTTTATTGTTTCAATAACAGGGTAAATTGGTAGCTTATATGTATCTGAACATTTACCATTTTCCAGGATTTTCCAAACACAATTGTTTGTGGCCAGTTCACCAGAGCCCCCTTGGATCCCCTCAGTTGGAGAGCCCTTTGCACCCCACTGGGCCCTGGGCTCTCTTACTCTGTGGACAGAGCTCTGTCAGTTCCTTCAGAGAGGCGGAACATTAGGTAGATTTGGGGCTGGTTGCTCAGTGGAATCCTGAAGTGGCTTTTGGAGAGAAGCCAGGATTTCTCTTCCTTCCCCACTGCTGCTCCCCAAGTCAGAGAACTTTCTACTTGAAAGGAATTGCAGCCCTCAGAGATGTGCCTTCCTCACTCCTGGCCATTGGAGAGTCCATCTCCATCTGTCTCCTAGCTGGCTTTCACAAAAAGCTCACCTCCCCCATGCTGTGTTCCCCATCCCACCCCAGGGCCTGTCTGAACTGGGACAGAGCCCTGGGCCAGCTCAGCCTTCTAATGAGGGCCTCGCAAACTGACTGACTTGTGAGGGTGTAAGTTTCATGCTGGTGTGTCTTATTTGTCTCTGCATACCTAACCCAACACCTAGTAGATGTTCAGTTGAATGAAGTGTGTGCACTTTTTATATAATATGCTAATAATATCTTGCATTTAAAAGGACATTTAAAATTGGACTTCTTCAAGATTAAAAACTTTTGTGCTTCAGAGGACAGTATCAAGAAAGTGAAAAGATAAGAATGAGACAAGATATTTGCAAATCATATATCTGATGAGAGTCTAGCATCCAGAAGATATAAAGAACTCTTATAACTCAATAATAAAGAGACCCATAATCCAATTATAAAATGAGTAAAGGATTTGAATAGACATTTCTCCAGAGAAGATACGCAAATGGCCAATAAGTACATGAAAAGATATTCATTATGATTAGATATCAGGGAAATGCAAATCAAAACCACAAGGAGATATTACTTCACACCCAGTAGGATGGCCATAATCAAAAAGAAAGACTAGCCTGGCCCTCACACCTGTAATCCCAGCACTTTGGGAGGGAAAGGCAGGAGAATGGCTTAAGGACAGAGGTTTGAGACCAGCCAGGACAACATAGCCAGTATCTACAAAAATAAATATCTACAAAAAATAAGAAAAATGATCTGAGTGTGGTGGTATACCCTGTAGTCCCAGCTACTTAGGAGGCTGAGGCACGAGGATCATTTGATCCTCGTGGTAGATTTGGGGCTGGTTGCTCAGTGGAAGCTCAGCCTAGGAGTTGGAGGCTACAGTGAGCTATGTTTGCATCACTGCACTCCAGCCTGGATGACAGAATGAGACCCTGTCTCTTAAAAAAATTTTTTTAATTTAAAAAAGACATTAACTAGGGTTGGCAAAAATGTGGATAAATTAGCACTTTTATATGTTGCTAGTGGGAATGTAAAATAGTACAGCCACTTTGGAAAACAGTTTCGTAGTTTTTTGAGAAGTTAAACATAAGATTACATATACACTTCCACTCCTAGGTATATATGCAAAAGAACTGGAAACATAAGTCAGTGCAAAAACTTATACATGAATGTTCATCGCAGCATTATTCATAATAGTCAAAGAGTAGAAACAACCCAAACATCTACATATTAACTGATAGATGGATAAATAAAATGTGGTATGTCTATACAAAGGAATATTATTTGGCAATAAAAAGGAATGATCCATGCCACAACATGGATGAACCTTGAATATATTACACTAAATGAAAGAAGCCAGACACAAAAGGTCATATGTTATATTTATATCTAATCATACAAAGTATTTAGAATAGACAAATCTATAGAGACAGAAAGTAGATTAGTGACAGTAGTCACTTCCTCTTCCCCTCTCTCCTAGCCCCTGGTAATCACTAATATACAGTGTTTCTTTTCGGGGTGCTGAAAATCTTCTAAAATTAGATAGTGGTGATGGTCCCACAATTCTGTGAATATACTAAAAACAATTGAACTATATACTTTAAATGGGTAAATTTTATGGTGTGTGGATAATATCTCATTAAAGTTATTAATTTTTTAAATGTAACTTCTCAAGAATATTAACATGCAATGTTTTGGCTAAAATCAAAAAGAGTAAAATATTTTATCCATAATCCTATAACCCAATAATTCAAACCAGTTTTTCTGCAATCCCTTCCAGTACTTTTCCAGACACTTGTGTGATTTTGACATACTTATAATTATGACCAAACAATTTTTACTCTCTATTTCCAAAAGACTTTATGTACAATTTGAAATATATTTATTTAATAAACATTTACTGTGCCAGGCACAGTACCAGATGTTGACACGAGGATGAATAAAAAACTAGTCCTAGTCCTGCCCTAAGGGAGTGATGCCCCCAGTGCTGTAGATCAGGAAGAATTATTTCCACTTAACAGATGAGGAAATTGAGGCTCAGAGAGGTTAAGTGAAATGTCTGAGGAAACCCAGCTGGTTACTGACAGCTAGGACTAAACCTCAGCCTCTGGCTCCTAGGCCTAGGATCTTTTTTAATGTAGACCATGCTCATTTTCTTGATGTTTTTATTCTAAAGCAGCACTTTTCCCCTCTTGGCTTATTGACTCTCTGCAAAATCTTGGTCAGGTAAATAAGGTGGGAAGCCTCACCCCTGTCCCAGGTGGATTTGCCCAGGCTCCATTGCCATAACCATAATGGAATTGATATTTAAACACGAGATTATATGGCTGTAAGTTCACTCAAGTTCAGTTTAGAAAATGAAAAGATCCACAGTGAAGGATATGCAAAACAATAGCAGCCGTTATCTCTGGGCAGTGTAAGTGTGGTTTTCCTTTTGTTCTCTGTGCTTCATTTTTATTTGCTATAATTAGCGTGTGCTAATTTCACCTGTAGGTAAAACCTATAGGTATGTACATAGGTGTGTGTGTGTGTGTGTGTGTGTGTGGTTGCACGCATATTTGGGAGCAGGCAGAGAGTTACATTCCAAGGGCTTGCCATAGGATTTTCCCCTAAGGGCCTGTGTTCTGTTTGGCCCTGCCTAGGTCATCAAGAAGAAGCTGGTGGGATCCGTGAAGGCATTGCAGAAGCAGTACGTGTCCTTGGACACGGTGGTCACAAGTGAAGATGGAGATGCCAACACCATGTGCAGCGCCCTGGAGGCCGTGTTTATCCACGGCCTGCATGCCAAGCACATCCGAGCAGAGGCTGGAGGAAAAAGGAAGAAGAGTGCTCACCAGAAGCCTCTGCCTCAGCCTGTCTTCTGGCCACTCCTGAAAGCTGTCACCCACAAGTGAGATCAGCTGGGAAGGTTTTGCTTTGTGGAGGAGCTTCAGAGTGTGGGACACTTGGCTCTTCCTTTCCAGCTGTGCTCAGGAAGCCAGCAAAGATGCCCTGTGTTCCAGTGTAAGGCTAGTGTGAGGTAGGGTGGCAGTGGGGAGAGTGTCTCATAGAACGGTTCATGTCTAGATCAAGCTTCCCAGCCAGTGTGCCAGGAGCCCTTGAGACCCTCGGCCATCAGGCAAGAGCCTGTAGCTGCTTTGAGCCCCAGGGCTGGTCACCTTTAGTGGGAGCAATCTTTTTAGCCACAATATGGCAGAGTTAGGCAGTTGCAACAGAGGTAGTGTGGCCTGCAAAGCCTGAAATATTATTCTCTGGCTCTTTACAGGAAAAGTTTACTGATCTTGTCTTAGAATATTTAAACATCTGTGTTGTAAATATTATATCCATAACGAGGTATGCGGTTATTTTATAAAAGAGTGGAATGCAGGCAGAGCATCTGAATATTTAATCCTGATATATTTTTAACCTTGCCCCTAACTGCCTGTGCCTTTGAGCAAGCAGCTGGCACTGTGCCTCTAAGGGCTATTTAATGTCACCTCCATTCTGAAGGTGCCTTGTCAGTCTCTGATCTTTTCCATGCCTATTTCTTCTGCCCTCTCTCAGGTTCTTACCTATCTCCTGGGTGACAGTGGCTTTCTAATTGTCCATCTTATCTTTTTCTTTAAGTCCATCCACTGATCAGCATTCACCCTGGAGCTCTCTCACAGGGGAAGCATGCACAGGGGGCTGTGGTAGCTCAGAGGGGCATTTACATCAGACTGGGGGATGCAGGAACCGAGTCTGGCACACATGTGGTCTGACCTCCTCGTCCAGAGCATCCACCCAGCTGTGGCCTGGTCACTTTCCTATGTAAAAACCTGTTGCCCGCGGGCCCCCAGATGCTCACCTGGAGTCTGACCAGGCTGGGGCCCCATAATCTGTATCTCGCTCAAGTTCCCCAGGGGTTCTGATGCACAGCCCAGTGTGGAAACCACTGTCCCAAGTCACCTCATCAGCTTGACATTGAATGCCCTCCCTTACCTGGCTTTGCTACCCAATGACCCTCTTCCTCCACAAGTAGTAATTGGCATGCTCCTCACTCCTCTTACAGGGCTGTTGGTTTCCTCTCCTCTATGCTTTTTTTGTCAGTGCCTTGTGACTAGAAGGTTCTTCTTCCATCTCTGCCTTTTGAACTCCCTCAGGGCCTGGCTCACATACTGCCCTTTCTATGGCATTTTTCTTACTCCAACCAAAAAGTGATTGCCCAGCCCCCACCCAGGCTCTACCAGTGAAAGGGCCTGAGTATGCCCTTGAAAGGCAGTTCCTTGGACTGAGGGCAGAGACCACGTCTGCACCCTGTATCTCCACAGCTCTAAGGATCTTGCCCTTAGGGAGCTCTGCAAACATGCCCTGAATGAGCAGATGATGTCAGGGGCCCCAGGGGTAGTTGTAGTGGACATGGAAGTTATCCTTCGTGACACCATCCTCAAAAAATTGGAGCTATAGCTTAGTATTTCTGTATTCCTCTTCAAACACTGTTATGCAAGAATTTTTCATGCCTATATATATTTGTAGTAGTTACTCTTGGTTCTTGCAAACCAGTGGATAAAAGGACATCCCAGTGATAAGAGGTAGTTTATTTTTTCTTTTTTCCTTTTTTTTTTCTTGGTACTGACTAGTTATAGATGTGAGGTAGTTTCTTGAAACGAGCCTGTTCTCCCCTTCCCAGACACATCATCTCGGAGTTGGAGCATCTGATCTTTGTCAACACGGATGTGGGCCGCTGCCGAGCATGGCTGCGGCTGGCCCTCAACGACGGCCTGATGGAGTGCTACCTGAAGCTGCTCCTCCAGGAGCAGGCCCGACTGTGCGAGTACTATCAGCCTACAGCCCTGCTTCGAGACGCTGAGGAGGGCGAGTTCCTCCTTAGCTTCCTGCAGGGACTAACGTCCTTGTCCTTCGAACTCTCCTACAAGTCCGCCATCTTAAACGAGTGGACACTCACCCCATTGGCCCTCTCTGGGCTTTGCCCACTGTCTGAGCTCGACCCTCTCTCTACCTCTGGTGCAGAACTACAGCGGAAGGAGTCTCTGGATTCAATTTCCCATTCCTCAGGCTCGGAGGACATCGAAGTCCAGCACTCAGGCCATAAGATCCGGCGGAACAGGAAGCTAACTGCCTCCTCCCTCAGCCTGGACACAGCCAGTTCATCCCAGCTGTCCTGTAGCCTAAACTCTGATAGCTGCCTACTCCAAGAGAATGGCTCCAAGAGTCCAGACCATTCTGAGGAGCCCATGTCCTACGACTCAGACCTGGGCACAGCAAATGCCGATGATTCAGACCGGTCTCTGCAAGAGTAAGTGTCCCTCCCTCACCCCTTCCCACCTTCTCCTCCCTTCCTTCTTTCCTTCTCCCTTCCTTCCTAAGTGTGTGATTATCTGTTACTGAACCCAATTAGAAGATAAAGAAAGCCAGAGGAGACGTCAAAGGACTGGAGTTGCTGGGAGCTGTAACAGGCAACAGCACAGCGGGGAGAATGGATTTAGAAGGGCTCAGAGCTGGTTTAAGCTGCAGCTCTGCCCCTGGGTGGCCTTTAACAAGTCACTAAGTTTCTTCAAGGCTCAGTACAAAACGTTACTACTGTCTCCTTCATTTAGAAGGAAGGACACTAATAGTTTAGAGCATAGTTACAACTTCCAACAGATACAAAGCATGTCTTGTAAGGGCTTGACCTGACAGCAGACCTCCTGGGGAACACACAGCCTGAGAGCTGCGTGGAGGAGGTGGTGGGCTGGTGGGCCAGGCGAATGTGTGAGGACTATGTGGGGCAGACTGACCCCACAGGAGACGGAGCCTGGGACAGAGCCTTTGTTACACAGCCTTAGCAAAAATTAATTTTTGCATAATCTATGTTTATGGTTTAAAAAATCTAAAACATGGCCGGGCGCGGTGGCTCACGCCTGTAATCCTAGCACTCTGGGAGAGCGAGGAGGGCGGATTGCTCAAGGTCAGGAGTTCGAAACCACCCTGAGCAAGAGCGAGACCCCGTCTCTACTATAAATAGAAACAAATTAATTGGCCAACTAATATATATAGAAAAAATTAGCCGGGCATGGTGGTGCATGCCTGTAGTCCCAGCTACTCGGGAGGCTGAGGCTAGGAGGATTGCTTGAGCCCAGGAGTTTGAGGTTGCTGTGAGCTAGGCTGACCCCATGGCACTCACTCTAGCCTGGGCAACAAAGCGAGACTCTGTCTCAGAAAAAAAAAAAAAAATCTAAAACATACATAGAGAAGAGTCTTTCTTATCCCTATCCCCCACCCACCCTCTTCTTCCCCCACCTCCCTTGTGACCATACCAATTAATTTCCTACATATTCTTCCAAACTTTCCAAGTGTATCCACAACAGATACCAATATATAGATTTTTTTAAATTTCCTTATTTCTTATCCCCATTCCCCACTTTTCCACAAAAGGCAGTATATATGCACTCTTGTATCTTATTTTCGGGGCGATCTTTTCATATCAGAGCTTCTTCATTCTATTTTTTTATATTGCATATTGTTCCGTTATATGAATACTCCTTAGTTTACTTAGCCCTGTATTTAATGGACATTGGAGTTCAGTGTTTCCATAAATAACCTGTGTATGTGGTCTTTTAGTTCTATGGAAGTGTTTCTGTTTAGTAAACTCCCAGAAGCAAAATTGCTGAGCTAAAGGATAAATTGATTTGTAATTTTCACTCCAACAGGAATATACCTGTGTTCTCTCAGCCTTGCCAATAGAAGGCATTTTCAGACTTTTGGATATTTGCTCATCTGATAAGTGAAAAATGGTAACTTTTTATTAGAGCCTTCTTCAGTCAGCCTGTGTTTAGGACCTTCTTTTCCACTCCCGCCATCCCCCAACTCGGTTCTGGTCCTTCCAGGGTTCCCACCCAGTGTGGGAATAGCACAGGGCTGGGTGGTGTTATGGACTGGGCTTGGAGCAGACCTAGTTTCGAGTCCTATTCCACCATTGACAAGTCCAGTAATGTCAGGCAAATTGCTGACTCTGAGGCTGTGTTTCTTCATCTCTGAATTGCAGATTCCCTCATAAGGCTGTTTGAGAATCAAATCAGATGCCTGTTAGTGAATTATATACATGAAAACGTCCAGTAGGCCCCAGAAACAGCTTTTGAACACTGAGCATATTAGATGGAGTTTTCATATGTCAAACAGAGGCATTTAGGTAGAATACATTAGGGAGGAGTAGTCCCTGCCTCTAGAAATGGCTGGGCCTCCAGCATGACAGATCCGTGGCGTGACTTAGGCTCACTCCCCTGTCTCAGGCCCTGCTATGTCTATCTGATCCAGAGCCCAGCTGGCCTTCTGTCTGTCATGTGCTGTACCTTTATCTGTCATGAATCTTGTGACTGGAAAATTCCAGCTTGAGGTCATTGAATCAGTAATCATTCCCTTGTGGGGGAAGTGTTGTCCTGGGTATTATGGGGAAACTCAAGGGTGAGGGTCAGAATGTATGGATGGTCACTGGACAATAATTTCAAACTCCTAGCTTCAAGCAATCCTCCTGCCCTTGCCTACCTAAGCATATCTGGCCCTGAACCCTAGACAATGATGAAATGGCAAACACAAAGCACGCAAATACACAAACACATGTGCAATGCTATCATTCTTAGAGCTGAGCTTTGAAGTTAGTCTTTGAGCATCCACAGGGGCTAGCATTTTTTGGATTGTATATTTCAAGCGTAAAAGATTCTCACACATACACGTAAGAGTTCATTTAAGTTATTATTATTATATTACTTAAATATAACTTTAAATTAGACATAAATACCTTTTACTTATTGTTACAAGTATAAAATCAAAATATCTATAAATTAAGACATTTCTATGTCACATTGTCTTCAAAATGAAATTTCTTAATTCAACATAAGGAGTTCTGGCCTGGCATGGTGGCTCACACCTGTAATCCTAACACTCTGGGAGGCCAAGGCAAGCGGATCGTTTAAGCTCAGGAATTCAAGACCAGCCTGAACAAGAGTAAGACTCCATCTCTACTAAAAAAAAAAAATAGAAATTAGCTGTACAACTAAAAACATATAGAAAAAATTAGCCAGGCATGGTAGCACATGCCTGTAGTCCCAGCCACTAGGTAGGCTGAGGCAGAAGGATTGCTTGAGCCCAGGAGTTTGAGGTTGCTGTGAGCTAGGCTGACACCACGACACTCTAGCCGGGGCAACAGAGTAAGACTCTGTCTCAAAAAAACCCCCAAACACAAAAAACATGAGGGGTTCTGTTTTGCAGAAACCAAATTGCAGTTTGCCTTGTGAAGAGAGGATTGACTGTCCTGAATAGTTTCCTCTGTATTCACTGGCTCTGTGTTGTAGTAATCACTGAGGGATGTGGGTATAGTCCCGTGGCTAAGAATGTGGACTCAAGAACCAGACTGCGTGAGTCTTCCATTTACCAGCTTTGCAAGCTTGGGTGAATTACTCGACTTTTCTGACCTTGATGTCCTCATCTGTAAAATGGGGATAAGAATTCTTCAAAGGAATGTTGGGAAGATTAAACAAGTTAAGATATATAAAGTGCTTAGAACAGTCCCTGCCACATAGGTGTCAGTAGTGCTTCATAGGTGGTATTGTTGTTGTTTTATTAGTAGGTACCTGTGACATCAGTTCCTCCACTACTTGCTTCTATATAGACTGCTACAAAAGCTTTGTTTTTTTTTTTTTTTTTTTTTTTGAGACAGAGTCTCACTTTGTTGCCCAGGCTAGAGTGAGTGCCGTGGTGTCAGCCTGGCTCACAGCAACCTCAATCTCCGGGGCTCAGCGATCCTACTGCCTCAGCCTCCCGAGTAGCTGGGACTACAGGCATGCGCCACCATGCCCGGCTAATTTTTTGTATACATATTTTTAGTTGGTCAATTAATTTATTTCTATTTTTTTTGGTAGAGACGGGGTCTCGCTCAGGCTGGTTTCGAACTCCTGACCTTGAGTAATCCTCCCGCCTCAGCCTCCCAAAGTGCTAGGATTACAGGCGTGAGCCACCACGCCCGGCTCAAGCTTTGGTTTTTAATATTTGTCAGATGTCATTGTCACGAAGGCTTCTCTTGGGGGAAATGATTTTTAGCATATGCAGCACACCTCTGTGCTTCTCTTAGTGACCCTTGCCTGCCAAAATAACACCATATTCCATGAACACAAGAGCCCACATTGCTCACAAAAACTGCAGGCTCTGACTTACTGGGCAAGATTGCTTTATAAAGTGGTGCCCCAGATTTTCCAGGCCGTGTTTTCAATTTATTGCAGACACACATACATACGTACACATACATATGTATGTAAGACATATATGTTTTTAAGATTGTTTTCTAAATGAATGTTTTCTAAAATTTTTGAATAGAAAGTTTTTGAAAAGCACTGCCCTGGGCCAAACAGAAGTGGAAAGATTGTGGCTGTTTCACAATTTCATCTCTATGTTATATTGTCTTCAAAATTTTTCAAAATTTTCTTTCTTTTGCTTTTTGTTTAGAATCTCATCTCTGAGCCTTTTTTTCCGCTTGATGCACATGTCTCTTTTATTTTCACTGGACCCTGAAGACTAGTACTGATTCTGCAGAAGCTTTCTGAACTTGATTTCACCTTGACCTTGGTTTTGATTTGGTGGAAGCTCTAATTATCACACAAGCTTCCTGCTGTTTGGTGGCATTTTTTAGGCATTGTCACTTACTTTAATACCCAGTCTACTATGACATTAAGATCTTTCTTATAGATTAGGATTCATTTATGACTGATAATCATTTTGGTAATGCTAGTGAGTATTTCTGTAATTTGGCTTTTTCCCTAAATTTTTATATTTACATGGAGGCTAAGCAATCTTATCAATGGTAATAAAAACATCTACCATAACAAATTGAGGTTAATGTTTATAAGTAATTACTTTATGCCACACACTCTGCTAAGCATTTTGCCTATATCATCTCCTTTAATCTTTGTCATAGTCATAAAAGGTGGGTGCTATTACCATTCCTGTTTTACAGATAAGGGAATTGAAGTCCATGAACTTTAAGAACCTGTTGTGGGACACACAGCAGTGTGCTGACTGAGGCCCGATAGACTCAAGGGTCCCTGCTCTTAATCACTCTCTACACTGCAGGTGCCCATGAGAAACTAGGACTTCACAGGGTACATTTGTCAAAAATCTGTCTCCCTAGTTTATTTCTGAAGGTAGTCTCATTCTGTCATAGTCATTTGGACACATACACTTGGTTGGCAAATATTCTTATCTGCCTGTGGAAACTACCCCCTTTGTTTCCAGAACTCAACATTGTCCACTGTCTGCAAGTTACACTCCTGGATTTTCTTATCAGTCTGTTTTTAAAGTGAGACCTTAGAGCAAGAACCAGCACCTGTCTGCCTCCCACCATAACTATTCGACAAACATCTTTCTGCCTCTTTGTGGTCATCTGATTTTTAATTGAGATAGGATTTACATACCATAAAATCCACTATTTAAAAATGTATAATTCAGTTGTATTTAGTACATTCCCGAGGTTGTGAATATACTACTATCTAATTCAAGGACATTTTCATAGGCTAGGGGCAGTGGCTCATGTCTATATTTCTAGCACTTTGAGAGGCCGAGGCAGGAGGATCACTTGAGGCCAGGAGTTTGAGACCAGCCTGGGCAACACAGCAAGAACTCATCTCTACCAAAAGTAAGAAAAATTAGCCTGGCATGGTGGCACATGCCTATAATCCCAGCTAATTAGGAGGGTAAGGTGGGAGGATCACTTGAGCCCAGGAGTTGGAGGCTGCAGTGAGCTATGATGACACTACTGTACTGGAGCCCAAGTGATAGAGCAAGACTTCGTCTTAAAAATAAAAAAAATTTTTAAAGTAAAAAGAAAAAAATTTTCATCACCCTTTAAGGAAACCCACCTTATTATTAGCTGTAGATTTGCCTATTCTGAATATTTCATATAAATTCAATCATACAATATATGGCCTTTTGTTTCTTCCACTGCTTTTTTTCCACTTAGTATTATATAATGTTTTCAAGGTTCATTCATGTTACTATCATGATGGCATGTACCATGGCTAAATAATATTTCATTGTATGGATATACCACAATTTCTTTATCCATTCATCAGTTAATGGACATTGTCCCTCTACTTTTTGGCTTTTATGAGTGATCTTGCTATGAACATTCATGTATAAGTTTCAATGTGGACATATGTTTTTAATTCTCTTAGGTAAATACTTATGGGTGGAATTGCTGAGTCTATGTAACTCTATGTCTAACTTTTTGAGAAGTTACCAAACTGTTTTCAGCAGTAGTTACCCTTTTCTACATTCCCATTACTAAATTATAAGAATTTTAATTTCTCTATATCTTTGTCAACACTTATTCTCTTTTTGCTGTAGCCATCCTAGTGAGTGCAAAGTAGTATCTTATTGTGGTTTTGATATCCATTTCCCACATGGCTAATGAAGTTCAGCATCCTTCATGTGTCTATTGGCCATTTGTCCTTTTATTGTTGAGTTGTAAGAGTTCTTGGTATATTCTGGGTACTAGACCCTTATATATGATTTACAGATATTTCCCCCCATTCTGTGGGTTCTTTTCACTTTTCTGATCGTATCCTTTGAAGCACAAAAGTTCGTAATTTTGATGAAGTCCAATTTATCTGTTTTTATTGGTTGTTGATGGTTTAGATATCACATCTAAGAAACCATTGCCTAATCCAAAGACATGAAATTTATGCTTCTGTTTTCTTCTAAGAGTTTTATCATTTTAGCTCTTACATTTAGGTCTTTGATTCATTTTGAGTTAATTTTTGTATATGATGTGAGAACATGGTCCAACTTTATTCCTTTGCATGTGACTACCAACTTTATTCCTTTGCATGGGACTACCAACCCAGCACCCTTTGTTGCAAAGTCTGTTCTTTCCCCCATTGAAATGTCTTAGTGTCCACGCTGAAAGCAATTGCTCAAAAATATTTGGGTTGGTCACCTATTCTTTTTTTTTTTTCTCCAAACAAGTCAGTTGTCTGAATGGTCACCTATTCTTGACTATAACGTCTTGAAATGTTGTTTGGGGTTATCATGATGTAGGTAAGAACAGAGCTCAGAGGGAATACCATCAGGTAAGTAAATTCAATCCTAAAATCTTCAGTTCCATGTGCCCAAATTAAGGGGAGCTTCATGTGTCTTCTGGACCCAGTTTGAGCCATCAGGGCAGATACATGCAGTCTTTTGAGCTCAGACAGCTTTCTTGCCACCTGAACCTGCATTTGTACATGACATATTCCACTGGCTTTGTAAGCAGAAGAGGAGACAGCAGCAGATGGGTTTATTTTAGGAATTGGACTTAAACTCTCAGAAGCCTCAGGAAAGCGAGGAAGTCATTAGCCATGGACGTTCCAGAAGGCCCAGAATTATATTTCTGTGCTCTGTGCCTGTGTATCTGCAAAGGCAGTAACATTGGCTCCCTGTGGCCCCAGGAAGCACCACTCCGAGGACAAGGGGTGGCAGTCCTACCAGGAGGAATGAGTAGGTACACACCCTCACGTTCCTTGTGTACACTGAGCTCCAACACCAATTTCCGGAGACGTGAAGCTTCCCTGTCTCCACACCCAGTCCAGCTTTGAGGGGCCAAGCCCTTGCATCTCCCTTCAACTCTGCTGTCCCAGTTCCTGCCTAGGGACAATGTGCATCCTGGCTTAGAAAACCTCTTTAGCCCTCACTTCACCTAGTGGGCAGATTCACCCAGGAGGCAGAATCTTGGTGCCTCAGCTACTTTGTACTATGGAGGAGCCCCACTTTGAGATACTTTCTCCACGGAAGCTCTGCTGCAGACAGTGTCTGGGGAAATGACCCACACACCACGGCCCACAATCAGCCTGTTCAGAATGGCGAGCAGTTCTCATTGGCATCGAGTCCACTTTCTCTGCTGTGTGAGCACCACGCCCAGCTAATTTTTTGTTTCATTTTTAGTTGACTGGCGTGGTGTGTGTAGGCCCACACACCACGGCCTACAATCAGCCTGTTCAGAATGGCGAGCAGTTCTCATTGGCATCGAGTCCACTTTCTCTGCTGTGTGAGCCTTCTCACCTGAGATCCTGGGTTCCGCAACCCACCTGCCCACCCAATCTGCCTGAGTTCTGGCCAGGAAAAGAGGCATTGGTGGGGAGTGTCAGAGAAGGGCTATGTGAGGTGGGAGTACAGTGGATAATTAAGAGGGTGTGGTTTGTTTGTTTGTTTTAAATCATAAAATAGTAGTTTTGCATTCTTACCATTCCCCTAGTAGCCTTGGGCATTGTAGCTGTCAACCTGTTACACAGGTTTCTTTGTTTAAAAACTTCTAGGGTGTTGTCGGAATTCAGCAAAGCCCAGGTAAACTCTATGCCAACCAATGGAATGAGCCAAGAAACGGAGGTCCCCATGCTCCAAGGCTCGCTCTCCCTCCACGGCCTCAACACCAGCACACACCTGCACTATGAGGTGCCTGCAGAGCCCTTTCCTGCCCATGCAGCCTCTGGAATCCAAGATGTTGGCCATAAGCAGGAGCCGCATTCCCTGGCACCTGGCACTCTGGACTTGAAGCAGCTGGACACTGCCCAAGCTTTCCCTGCAGGGAGCAGCTCAGGCCAGCAGCCTTCTAGTACTATGAGAGAGACGACCAGAGCAGTCAGCCAAGAGAGTGGCCAGCAGAAGACCCCATGGGGTGATGGAGTTGGACTGAAGCTTGTGGTTTCCTCACCCACGAGTCCGGTGAGTGGTGCAAACTCTTTGGGAGGAAGTCTTGGGAAGTGATCCACTGCAGGGTTTCCCCAGCTAGTGACCCTGAGGGGTCTCTGCCTTCTCCCCACTAACCTCCCTTCCCCTGCTTGGTGATAGCATTGTAATGATGGCACTAATGTTTCTTGGTATGTGAATAGTGGATATGAGCCAGGCACTGTGCTGCTCACTTGCAACACGTATCTCCTATCATCTTCACATCTACTCTTGAAGAAGATAATTCTCACCTGACCGTACCACTCACCAGCATAAGGCCCTGGACAAGTCACTTCACCTCTTGGAGCCTTGGTTTCCTCTTTAATCTTAGTTATTATTAAATTAATATTTTTATAAAATACCAGGCTTTGAAAATACTCATTTTACAACATGTACCAGGTTTTTTAACTGCACTGTCCACCATGGTGGCCACTAGTCACATGTGGCTGTTGGGCACTTAAAATGTGGTTAGTCCAGGCTGGGCACAGTGGCTTATGCCTATAATCCTAGCACTCTGGGAGGCCGAGACGGGCAGATCGCTCAAGGTCAGGAGTTCGAGACCAGCCTGAGCAAGAGCGAGACCTCATCTCTACTAAAAATAGAAAAAAATTAGCCAGTCAACTAAAAATGAAACAAAAAATTAGCTGGGCGTGGTGCTCTCGCCTGTAGTTCCAGCTACTCAGGAGGCTGAGGCAGGAGGATTGCCTGAGCCCAGGAGTTTGAGGTTGCTGTGAGCTAGGCTGACGCCAAGGCTCACTCTAGTCTGGGCAACAAAGCGAGACTCTGTCTCAAAAAAAAAAAAAAAAATGTGGCTAGTCCAAATTGAGATGTGCTGTGTAAAATAAGCACTGGAGTTTGACAACTTAATATGAAAAAAATTGTAAAATGTAAAATCTCAATGTGTTATTGATTACATGTTAAAAATTAAAATATTTTGGATATATTGGGTTAAATAAAATACATTATTAAAATCTATTTCACCTGTTTCTTTTTACTTTTTCCAGTGTGGCCACTAGAACATTTAAAATTACATATGTGGCTTGCATTGTATTTTTTGAACTCCTGACCTTGAGCGATCCACACTCCTCGGCCTCCCAGAGTGCTAGGATTACAGGCATGAGCCACCATGCCCAGCTCTTGTGTTGTATTTTTATTGGACAGTGCTGTTCTAGAACAAGCCAGTACTTCCCTGGACATCTCCTGGAGAGAGCCATAGGTGAAGAGGCTTGAGAATTACTAGCCCAATGAAGCACCAAAGGCTGTGAACTTGAGCTCTTTTGCCCCTTATGTTTGTTCTTGTGTGGCCTTCAAAGTTTCCCAGACAAATTTATTGACATGTACTGAGTGTTGGTAGGAAAGTTATGTGTGTGGTATCTGCTCTTTCTGCCACTCAAACCCCAGCAGGGTGAGGGAGGGCAGCTGCTCCAGAAGGCCCTGGGCACCTACAGGGAAAGTCCATAGGACGGGGAAGAGGTAGCGCAGCCAGGGTTGTTGCCAAGGTGAAGGGAGAGAGAACAAATACCTTTACAGGCTTGAGTGCCTTTGACTACTTCTCTTTCTGGGCTTCACTGTTAAACTACACCATGGAAAGCAAAACAGGGTCATGAAAAGCAGAGGTAGGAATGTGTATGTTTGTGTGCACATGGAAGCCCCACGTTATCCCAGCTGCACTCTGGGGCTCACATTGGGATATAGTCTTGCTTTTTCAGTTCTATCCACGCTCATCTCTCCTTTGGGCATAGCTTCGAGATCACATAAGTCAGGATGGGGACAGGGTTATGAAATATATGGGCAGAGGCACATATACCCTGGTTTGTTTGTTTTTTTAACACTTTCTTGAGATATAATTCACATACCATGCAATTCACCTATTAAAGTATAATTCAGTATTTTTTAGTATCTTCATGGGGTTGTGCAACCATCACCACAACCTAATTTTAGAACATTTTCATCCTCCATAAAAGAAACCCCCCACCCCTTAGCAATCACTCCCCATCCTTCTCCCATCCTCCACCTCCCTCTCCTCAACTCCTGGCAACCAGTGATCTCCTTTGTGTCTATAGATTTGCCTTCTGGCCATTTCATATAAATGGAATCAAACAACACAGGGCTTTTTGTGACTGGCTTCTTTCTCTTAGCTTGATGTTTTTAAGGTTCATCCATGTTATAGCATGTATCACTACTGTATTACTTTTTACTGCTGAGTAATATTTTGTTGTATATTCCATCATATGGCTGTATATCACACTTCATGGGTTCATCAGTTGATGGACATTTGGGTTATGTCCACTTTTTGGCTATTATAAATAACACTGCTGTTCAACTTCATATACAGGTTTTTGTGTGGACATGTTTTCAATTCTCTTTTATGCATAACTAGGAGTAGAATTTTTGGATCATATGATAGCTATGTTTAACCTTTTGAGAAACTGCCAAACTGTTTTCCAAAGCAGCTGCCCCGTTGTACATTCCTACCAGCAATGTATTTCTTCACATCCTCACCAACAGTTGTTATTGCCTCATTTTTTAAAAAATTACTATAGCCATCCCAATGAGTAAGGAGTGATGCCTCATTATGGTTTTGTTTTGAATTTCCCTGGTTAAAGATGTTGAGAATCTTTTCATATGCTTATTGGCCATTTGTGTTTTTTCTTTGGAGAAGTGTCTGTTCAAAACCTTTTCCCATTTTTAAATTGTCATCTTATTACTGAGTTATAATAGTTGTTTATACAGTATTCTAGATACTACACCCTTATCAGATACATGATTTGCAAATATTTTCTTCCATTTTGTTGGTTGTTAGCAGCATAAAAGCTTTTGATTCTGATGTAGTCCAATTTTTCTATTTTTTCTTTTGTCACTTGTGTTTTTGGTGTCATATCTACGTACCCATTGCCTAATCCAAGGTCACAAAGATTTACTCCTATGATTTCTTTTAATAAGTTTATAGTTTTAACTCTTACATTAAGGTCTGTGATCCATTTGGAGTTAGTTTTGGTGTATGGTGGGTGTAGGTGTCCAGTTGTACCAGCACCATTTGTTGAAAAGGCTATTCTTTCCCCATTGAATTGTCCCACTCCACCCTTTAAAACTGTTTGAGGAATGATGTATTCTAAGTACCCAGATCTTCAGTGTACCCCTTAGTGTATTTACATATGATATGTACCCTGTGGCCACTATCCAGATCAAGAAACAGAACATTCCTGGCCTACCAAAAGGCTCCCATATACCTTCTCCCAGTCAGTAACTGCTCCCCTTCAAAGGAAAGTACCGATCTGACTTCTAGCGCCATACATCGCTTTTCCTGTTGCTGAGCCTCATATAAGTGGAACCATACAGTACGTATTCTTTTGTGTCTGGTTTCTTTCCCTGAATGTAATGTCTGTGAGATTCAGCTATACATAGAGCATGAGGCTGTAGTTTGTTTTTTTTTCATTGTTCTGTAGTATTCCATTATAAGAATATATCTCAAAATATTTATCCATTCTCCTCTTAATGGACATTTGGGTTATTTCCAGGCTTTGACCATTATGAAGAAAGCTATGACGAATATTCTTGTACATGCCTTTCAGTGAACCTCGCACTCATTTCTGTGTTTCCTAGGATTGGAATTGCTTGGTCCTTGGGTAGGCATATGTTTAGCTTTAGTAGATGCTGTACTTGTACTAAAATACACTCACTGGCAATATATGAGCATTTCAGTTGCTCTTCAGCCAATGATGTTGCCAGTCTTTTATTTTTTGAGACAGAGTCTCACTCTGTTGCCCGGGCTAGAGTACGGTGGCATCAGCTTAGCTCACAACAACCTCAAATTCCTGGACTCAAGCAATCCTTCTGCCTCAGCCTCCTGAGTAGCAGGGACTACAGGCATGCACCACCACACCCGGCTAATTTTTTTTCTATATATTTTTAGTTGTCCAGCTAATTTCTTTCTATATTTTTAGTAGAGATGGGGTCTCACTCTTGCACAGGCTGGTCTCGAACTCCTAAGCTCAAACGATCCACCCGCTTCGGCCTCCCAGAGTGCTAGGATTACAGGTGTGAGCTACCATGCCCGGCCTGCCAATCTTTTTAATTTTAGCCACTCCAGTAGGTGTGTAGTGGTCTTAATTTTCATTTCCCTGATGACTAAAGATATTGATACCTTTTCATTTGCTTATTGGCCATTTGATCCTCTTTTGTGGAGTGTCTATTCAAGTCCTTATTGTTCAGTTTTGTGTGTTTTCTGTATTGATTTTCAGATGTTTTTTATATATTACAGATATAAATATCTTATTGGAGAAAAAAGCAAATATCTTTTGCCAGTCTATGGCTTGCCTTAATGGTATTTTTGCTGACCAGAAGTTCTTAATTTTAATGATGTTCAACTTAGCAATCTTTTTGTTTCTGGTTTGCATGGTTTTTGTCCTGTTTAAGAAATCTTTGTTTACCCCAAGGCTCTGAAGGTACTCTCCTGTGTTATTTTTTTTTTTCCTAGAAGCATTAGTAATTTACCTTTTATAATTAGGTTTATGATCTGTGATTAATTTTTGTGTATGGTGTAAGATAGGAGTCAAACTTCTTATTTTTCTATATGGATATCTGGTTGACCTACCACCATTTATTGAATACGACCATATAAATCATGTAACTGGGCCGGGTGCGGTGGCTCACGCCTGTAATCCTAGCACTCTGGGAGGCCGAGGCGGGCAGATTGCTCGAGGTCAGGAGTTCGAAACCAGCCTGAGCAAGAGTGAGACCCCATCTCTACTATAAATAGAAAAAAATTAATTGGCCAAATAATATATATATAGAAAAAATTAGCTGGGCATGGTGGCGCATGTCTATAGTCCCAGCTACCTGGGAGGCTGAGGCAGGAGGATTGCTTGAGCCCAGGAGTTTGAGGTTGCTGTGAGCTAGGCTGATGCCACGGCATTCACTCTAGCCTGGGCAACAAAGCGAGACTCTGTCTCAAAAAAAAAAAAAAAAGAAAAGTCAATCATGTAACTGTATAAGAG